ACCTGAAAACCAGTTCTTCCAATATATGGTTGGGAAATCCTATAAGTTTGATTGTGACGGGAAAAATACGGCAAGGTCATGGACTGAAATGTAGGAGTCTATGCCTTTATATCCATATTATATATATGGATATATATAAATACCTTAAAGGTTCAATACTTTTTAGACGGCTTACAATGTGGTTAACCAGTTATGAGTGGGATATCTGTGTGTGCTCGTATATTAGTTCGTTCGCGATATGGAGGCGGTTGTAAGCATATCACTCACAAATCAAAGTAAACCAAATTGCAATTTTTGGGTAAACTCTTGGAAAGGTGGGCGCATGCGCGGCTGGTTGGTTAACGAAAATTGTAAAAAGAAAAAAAAGCCAGAAAAAAGAGAAACATAAATAAACGAAATACTCGTTAATATCATCAATAAAATGAAGTATTGCTTGAATAAGTTAAAATATACATAAGCGATGCTTGGGTTTCTTCATTGAAAATTTTGTCAAAGATTTTTAAATGTTTTCGTTTTGTTTTGTTTTGTTTTTTTTTTTTTTTTTTTTTTACCAACCGGTAAAAATACGGCCTAATAAACGTCACTAATAAAGTTGAAATTAACAAAATGTTTTTGTGTGCACTTTTTTTGTGCTTCGCATGACTGCCGTTCGTCACATTAAAATGCATAACACGTTACATTTAATCATTTAAAAAAAAAAAGGAGAAAAAAATAAAAAAACAGAGAAGCTTTGAAAACACTGTAGAAGAGTTGATTATGTTTATATATAATATATTATTTATTTTTGGCGGAGCGACTGGTTGATTGTCTGCTTATGTTTATTTTTGGCTTGTTTCGATAGCGGGTGTTGATTTTGTTTAATATACTGATCGCCAGTTTTGTGAAATGTTGCAATTTGTTCATTACGGCATTTCTGAGAAGTAAGTAAAGAAAAAAAGTGTTATGTACGATGACAAAATTACTGGCGTGACATACAACAACTTAAAACGTTACCAAAGAAAGCATTAACAATTACGATAACCGGTAACAAGACATTAATTGTTAAACATACGATTAAACATAACATATTAAAAAGGTATCTACGTGTTTCAGTGAATTGCTGGGATATCGCTATGCTTTTCTTGGAATACTTGCACCAAATTTCAAATTTCTTCTAAAGATTTTTATATCAATGATAATAATATGCAGAGATTTTTGTATGACTTGGTATCGAGCCTCTCTGGCTCTGTTTTGTGCACAATTGACGGCAAATTAGAAATCTCATCAACAGAGATCAATTCACTTTTTGTAGCAATTCTGGCTTTTTCGTGAATTTCGAGCAGAAATGAGAAAAGGATTGCAGACCATCACGTGTACGTGTTTGGCTTCAGGAGAAAATCTATGGGTGGTTCGTGGGTTAGGTATAGACTGAAAATAGGCGAATCCCATGAGTGCGATTCTAAAAAGTAACTGTCAGAGGAATTTTCCCGTATCCTCAAGAACATAACAAGCTCTCTTCTCAAGACAGCAACTTGAGTGTCTTTTTGTTTAACGTGTACATCCATGATGTCCTTTCGGCCGGATTTGGCGACATGAAATCGAGAAGAAATACAAGAGTACAAGAGAAACACTATAACAGGCCATAGGCCACCATTAAATCCTCCACGCCATCCTTCAATTCATATAATGATTTTAGAAAGTAAGGCCTGACATGGGAGGTAGCCTAAATAGTCGCCCTATTCGAGCAATTTTCAAATGCATTCGCCCTTGGGCCAAGTTTCGTCAGTATATCTTAAAAATTTGCGCCATGTAGGTTGAACAGAAGAAACCAAGATGGACAGACAAGCTTAGGTATAAAAAAAAGGAGATCTATCTCAACCCCTTCTGGGTGTTGCATACATCCATACAGGCTTGATATACCCTTGTATCACGAGGGGTGTGAAGTAGAAAAATGCAAGAAGCTTTCATTGATTATACCATATACGATTAACGTTTGTGTGAATGTATGTGACATGCAGAAGGACTTAAGATTGATCCATCTTCTTTTATACTGATGGATTAAGAATCATTTTCTGAATGGATCTAAACTTGTCTATCCACCTGTCTGTCCGTCTCTCTGTTTATGCAAATTTGTTCAAGTTACAGGTCGTAGTTTTAGAGATATTTAGACGGTGTAGGGTATTTACTAGTCATCTTTGTCCGATTATGATGTTCTTACTTATTTATTTATTATCGAGTATTTTGTCGAGTAGCAAAAATTGGAAAGTGTAGATTCGTTCATTGGTTCAAGGGGATTTATTCGATCAAGAGTTATGCAGACTGAGCTCTTCTCAAATGATAAGGGATAAATGCCCGTCCAAAGAGCCCGACGACCCATTGCCAAGCGTCTGCAACTTTGAAACGCTGTAGGGGTTCAACATCGGTTCGGATTTATACTGCTTGAAGATGTCTCCCTGGGTTGGATGTGTAGATACATGTTTCCCTCTCGTTTAATTAAACATGAATTTTTTCATTTTTTTTTTCTAAATTATTCTTTATAAAACTTTTTTCTTCTTCTTTGGATTAGTTTAACCGTGAGCACATGATTTATTCATGAAAGTGAAACGAATTCGGCTGTTAATTTATTTTAACTATATTTTTTATAAATAATTAAACAAAACATTTTGCGATTTATTAGAAAGAAAGCGCACTTGAGGGCCTACTTGAGGAACGACAAAGAAATGAACGAACTGACTATGCTGGCTTATCTTCATTTTAAGTTGATCAATTTTCTTTCAAAACCTCTTCGCCTATTTACGCCAACGACCATTTCAAAAAGTGCTAAGGTAGCCAAGATTAAATATAAGGAATGATACATAAAATAATTGAACAAGTCCTAGTTCCATTTCAGGTGGAATTATTGAAAACGTTTTCTATGCTCTCCTAAATCGATGAAAGTTCTTAACAGCTTTCGTAGCAGCCAAAGGTTTATATCTTAGATTTTCTGTGGACTTCCAAACTTCGTACTTATCCCTTTCTTTCTCTATGTGAAAGCTTTTCATTAAGCTTTTATTCTATCATGACAGATAAAATAAAAAAACAAATAAATAAATAAAAAACGGTTCTTATCAGTTTATATGTTCCGTGGCTTTTTACTTAATAGGATTTTATTTCTTTCTTTGCTTTGCTTCGTTGTTATAGTTTATTTAAATTTACAAACAACAGATAACGAAGATGATCACGCACGAAAAATTACTCAGTTTTACGCGTTGATTTTTTTCTTTTTTTTTTCAACTATAATCATATAAAGAACATCAATTTAAATTCTTAAAAAATAACATGCAGTATCTTGCGGTTTTTTATTAAAAAATGTTTTTTATTCTACTTCTTTTTGTGTTAATTGTTTTGTGTTATTCGAAGGCACGTGCAACAGTTGCGTTAAAAAGATTGCAAACATTTCGTAATACTCCTGAAGCTATTAGTAAGTTTTGGATAAATATTTATTATATGTATTTTTTTTTTTATGAATTATCTTTATTCTCACAGCATAATAAAAGATTAAAGAAAGAAAAAATATACATAAATGCCTTGAGAAGAAACTCAAATAATCGCCAAGCCTTTCTGTGAATGCATTCTTGCAATATAACTTTATTTACCGTTTAATGCAAGCTATTATTGACAGTATCGAAGAATTGGGACTTTAAGCGTCGCTCTTCTTTTGCGCATAAACTACAGACATTTGTGGTCACATGCGTCTATTTGATCAGATATGATACTATCAGGCTTGATCTTAAAATACAACTCTCAATTTAGTTGGAGTTCCCCTCCATCTCCTCCACACTTTCTAGCCTTGTTCACATACGTCGCTTCGAAGCGATGAAGAGTACGTCTCCCTTGAACTTTTGAAGATGCTGTACTGCAGCAAGCTGTATTATATGCGAGACAAGCAGAGAAGATTAGGATGTCTTTTATTATACCCTATGCATAAGCAATACGCAGAAGGGCTTAAAATAGACCCCTTCGATTCAGAATCATAATCTGGATTGATTTAAGCGTGCCTGTCTGTCTATCTGTCTGATGTCTGTCCATGTAAATTTTTTGTTAAAGCTACAGGTCGCGCTTCTTGAGATATTTTGATAAAATTTGGTATAGTGACTTGTTTTGACCCAAGGACGAAGGTTATTGAAAATGGTTTGGACCGGTCGACTTTTCAATCACTCCCCGCATCACGACCTATTTTGAAAAGTCGTTATATGAAAAAGAATTGCAATTTTCAAAATGGCAAAACTGACTAACTAGTAGTACTTCGGCATTCCCAATCCTTGAATCCCTCTCGTATAACGAAAACTGTTTACACCACAAAAACGTATAATTTTCAATGTTTCATGATCGGAATTATACCATAATGCAAGTTAATATAAAAAAATTAGCTGTACCAAATTTGGATTACCTCGAACTATTTTTTGGATCCTACCCTAATAAGGATTTTCATCAAAATTCATCCCTTGTAAAGCAGAAAATTTAAGTTTTAATATGTGGTGATGAAAATTGTACCATAATAGTAATTTCATACAAAAATGAACTCTATAAAATTTGGACCATCTAGTCCTATTTTTGGATCCTGCCCTAGGTAAGGATTAAATTCGTACTACATTAGGTTGCGTTATGTATATGTGGAAAACATGTCCTTATATAGAAGCAAAATATAATTTTTGTTCTCCATAATAAAAATAAGAATTGTCCCAGACCCTTGTAGTCGGCCGACTTGCCCGACTATAATATTCTTAGTTGTTTTTTCTTAAAAAATTACTAAAACCTTAAAATTTAATATTAAAATATTGATCTGATTTACAAAAGTAAACAGATGATGGATTTAAAAATATTTGGCCTTAGGTAAAAGTAATTTCGCATGTTTTGCGGTTTTTTTTTTTTTTTAAATTTCATTTCAATTTCTCATTATTTTCACTTGACTGATATATTTCAGGTTTGGATGATGGATTAAGTTACAATTTTCCTTTTTTGTTTGCTTTCATAATTTTTAGGTCACTTGCCGCAATATGCAAATGTGCGCAGCTGCAATTGTTGTCCCTATGGCTATCATATTGATTTGGATTTTGTACGATATTGTGAAGCATTGGCCAATGCTAAGCCATCTGAAGAAGAATTGCAACGGCGCAGCCGCCGCAGATCACGTAAATCAATGGAAGTTATGTTGGGTTTAGATTCACTTTTTGATCAATGGGATGCCATCGATAAACAACAGACATTGACAGAGGTAAGTAGCGAAGAAAATTTCAACAAGCATCGCTTACTTTCTTTTATAGTTTGCTTTTTTACTGAAAATGGTGCGTTTTTATAAAAAATGACATTTTCTTTCTTTCAAGTTTGCATAAATAATAATAAAAAAAAGTCTATAAATCGTGTTTTAAAACATTTTGAACAATCATCGCACTTCTTACATATAAAATTTTGCACATTTTTAATACAGTTATGTGACACGTTGAGTTGAGTTTTTTTATTGTCCATTAAAAAAATCACATTAACACCGTGTTAAATGTGAACTGGATTTGGAACATTTAAAATATATTAAAAATAAAAACACTTTGATGTTTAGAAATAAAAATAAATTGTAAAGTAAACGGAAGCCACTCACAGACTGTAACGAAATTCGCTTTAGCTTTATTCGAAAGAAAAGAAAGAAAACACAATATTCGTTTTTGCTGGAATCGGGGATATATATAACCTTAGGTGAATACAAAAAAGTTGCTCAGCACTTTGATGATTGTGCCTTGTCTGTCAGTCAATTAAAGGTTACGTCAGGATGTGGTATTTGCGTGAGTCTATGAAGATCTTAAGTTATTGACAAACCTGTTCCGACATCGCAGATATTAAACCAGGGGGCAAAGATGAACATTTTCAAAATTGAATCGAAGCTATAAGGCATCAGTCAACAAGTTCGCCGCATATAGTTGTAGAATGACTCTCGACTAATTCCTGTAATTCTAAGTTTGTACCAACCTTCAAAGGAAGTGTGCCAAAAATTCATGGCACTCCGGCAAGTTATTGCTGTCAAAACAATGAAAATATCTGAACTTCACGTGTAGCATTGCCCTAATATTAATGTAATTTAGCTCGTAAGCTAATGATCAGAAAGCCGTCAAATTTTGTTTGAAGGTTTGAAGGCATTATTTCCAAATCATACGGATTCGTCTATATGTCATCCTACTAGCTTGTTAATGTATTATCTCATGTGCGTCTATTAAATGAACTTGGAATCTTATGCTGATGAAGCGTAAATAAATTTCATAGATTCGCGAGGCGAAAGCTTATTGATGCCGAATTTAGAATTCAGAATTAGTTAAACATTAGATGAGTTAGATATAACAAATATCTTTGATCCTTTTTTCAGTTACCATATGAAAATGAATTACCGCAAACACCAGAACAATTCCTGCAACGCACCCTTTCTTTCAGTACATCAACACCTTATCAAACAGCGCCGACTGGTCGTCAACGCTCCTCTTCAGTGCCACGATTTCCCACTGACAATGCGGCTCAACAGCACTCTCGTTCCGCATCGCCTTTCGCTGCTCCATGCTCGTCTTCTCGTTATACTGATAGCGATGTCACAAACACAAGTTTATATAGGTTTGCGAACAGTCCACCAGAAACTAAGGCTTTCCTACACGACGCCTTAGATGAAGTGTGCAGTGATTTTGAGCGAACTCTTGAACGAGCTTCGGTAAAGAGGAAGAAATACGAAGACATGGGAGATGGAAGTGGCGCTTTTGATTTCCATACGAGTGATCGCAATAATAACAGTTTTCAAACTCGCGACAAGCGGAATGGTTGGTCTCGTGGAAAGCATCATCATCTGTACTTTCATGACATTTCGGGTAAGTTTCATTGTCACGATATTCAATTTCTTAACATTAGCTAAACATAATAAAAATACGAAAATGTTACCTTTTTAGAGAAAAATCTGTTAAGTGATTAATGGACGGTCTTTCAACGAGAAATGTCGCTTTATTCTTAACCACGTGATAGGCGCATTATTTCACGACTTTTGCTCTATTTCAAACAATACCCATATCTAGCATTAATTTTGGGATGTTTCGATAAAGTACGCATTCAACCGCTACAGTCAAACGAGAACAGCACTTTCGAAAACGTATAGATTAATGGCACCGTCAGCCCAAAAATTTTCTGTTGGTGAGGAAGTTATTCGATTATTTCTTCGGTCTTCGCAGTCCTTGTTGTGACAGACGGACAGGGTCACTGAGAATAATTTTATTTAAATTATTACAAATTACAAATCCAGTTTAGGGCGAATGTACTTGAACACCGTTTAGTTTTCATTCGTCAAATGTCATCACAATGACAGCTCTATGCTCACAGTTCAAAAATGACCCGTAATTTAAAATCATGCCACTTGTTGAAAGATTCTGCACACTTTGTAAATCAAAATTCATTTTCAAAGTTATGTAACGGCTACCATCTCCGTTGCAGATCCTGTTTCAGATTTTTAAGTTTTCATCAACTTTGTGACGTTATAATCAGCGTCAACTGCATAGCATGCTTCAGCTGCATAGCATGGTTTTACAAGTACATGAGTATAGATTCATAATTCAAACTGTTTTCCCTGACTAAGAAGCATTTGAAGTCGGTTTAGGCATGTTTACTCACCTTTTCACTTAGGCATTTCTTTTTTTTTGGTTTATTGCCTTGTTTAGCTGTCATTTGAATGCATATGCCAGGCGTAGCAAATTCACGGCTGAAACATATTCCGCAAACCTACTAGTTTTCAATCATTATTTAATGTGAAATGCGTCATGAAAACCAACTAAAAAATTTATTGTTTTCGTAAAGCAGCTTGAACAAGAACAATGTCTGCAGCAAGTACTTATACAATAACTGCTAGACCTAATATAGTTGAAGAAAGAACTGTAGGACTTGCTAAAAGGTGTTGAGAGACAAAAGTGTTGTCATAGCATCGCCCAAGCCGATATAAGCAAAAAAAAAATTCGTTAAAAATTATGTAGAAAAGTCGTGATCTGCATCCGTTTAACATTCAATTGCTTGCACAATAATCTTTGCAAGAGAATCATTATTCATATGACATAAGCTGTTGAAATATAGCAAATATTTCCATCTAATATTTTGTTTTTGCAAAAAATTAGCTACGAAATTATTCAGGGAAGATGAGATGAATCGAATCGTTTTATTAACTAACCTCTATAAAGAGCAGAGCTAAAGTGACCGCAAAAGTCTATTATAGAGATTGTATATGAATAGCTAAGCATAACTGATCTTTCATTATAAACTTTTTATACTAATGTTAATGTAGAGTGTTATAACGTGTCGGTCATTAACAAATGTGGAATTTCCATTTATTTGCTGTTAGTGGTGTCTCTTGACGTGGGAAAATTGGCGAAACAAACAAACAGATATCACTTCTTTAATAATTTACTTTGGTTTCGGTTTCGGCTGTTTGTGTGCATGATTCATAGTCACGCACGCATGCTGAGAGACAGAAACATAAATAGAAGAAATATAAAAAAAAAAAAAAAATCACTTCAATATTTTTTAAAGCATTTATGTGGATAAGGAAAATTACAACAAAAACCAGAAAGAAAAAAGAACTAAACAAGAAAAAACTTCAACAAACGAACACATGTAGGAAAGTTATGTTGGCTTTGAAACGAATCTTAGATACTTATCGCTTAAAAAAAAAAGTGTGAGATCTTCCTCTTATTCCGGTAGTTGTGCTAGTTAGTTGTGGATATATCTGATGGATGTAAAAAGTTTGCCCTTGACCATTAGCTAAAAATATATGAATCAATTTTCATTTTCGTATCTAGCAGGCCTAAGGTTGGCGGTATATCAATTTTGTCAAAACGTTTGCGGCATCCAGAAAGAAGCTTAAAAAAGCCTATATTATATATAATCCTGATCCCGATGTAAGCATGTCTATTCATTTTGAGCGCTTGTAGTCACAAAAATTTATATCTTGGCAGAAATATTGCAAGTGGATGCAGGTAGATGGATATTAAAAATGGACCAAAGCAGTCAGGGAACACTTATACGTTGCGAAATGAAATGTGAGGACACTTTTGTTTACGAAACCTAAAAAAAAATTGTATGTTTTTGGTATCATGTTCTTAAACGATCAAAGAAACAGCAAAAATAATTGAGTGATCGTTGCTTGAAAATGGAAAAATCAATTCCTATAAAGTCGAAATCTCAATTTTGTAGTTTTTTCTTGCTCGCGGCAGAACCAGATGGTGGGAATAAAAGATTCAACCATACGCGAATATAATTTTCTCTCTTGTTTGATCTTAATTTTTGTGGCAGTGAAAGTTTCAATAGCGCATGGGCAGACCGACGTGCGGGCAGCTGTATCTTTTCGAGTCAGGGACATATATTAGTCAAGCATACACAGTCTACAACAGTTTCTAAGGCGTATATATGAGTATTTCGATCTGAGAGAACACACACACAGTATTGGAAATATTTTTGAAAAATTTGAAATTTAAGTTGAGCGGTTTGGTCATGGGAGAAGGGTATACAAAGTCGCATTCTTGCGGACGAAATTTGCGATAATTGGGAAAGACATCAGTACTTGTGTATTAACAATGAGATTTAAAAGAATAATTGAAACATTTACCATTTGATGTAAAATTAGGTCAAACCATTCGTCAACGTTTCGTAATTTTTTTTTACATTTTATGTGAAATAAAATAACATGGAATTTTTGGAAAAAAATTTACATATCATTCCGCTAGCAAAGCAATTGTTACCAAAATTTTATGCAAAAAACAAATCCGAAAAAGATACGTTAGAGTTGATAAATTTGAATTTCAATTGAATGAATTGAATTGTTAGTCTAAAGAATTTAAATAGTTTTTCTTGCATTTATTTTAGTTTTGAATTTTTATTTTTTTTATTTTTTTTTTATAAAAAAGTTTGGTGGACTGCATAAATTTTCTAAATGTTGTATAAAACTACATATGACAAATATAGAGGGGAAGAAATACCGACTGTTTGAAAAGACAGCTGCTGAATTTTCCACACAATTATACCCTATAACACTTGTGGTACAAAGCATATAAATTTTATGCGTGTGCTATATGCATGTTTGTGCCTGTGCATGCAGTATCCAGAAGAATTTACTATTGTGTCCTCGATTATTCATTATGCCTATAAAAATCGATTTACAGTCAGAAGGATTTTCAGCTTCGCTGACCGTCTATCTCTCTGATATCTGGCCATGTGTTTCTGCGTTCAACCTACAGAATGTAACTTTTGAAATGTTTTGACGATATTTGCTACATTGTAATGTTTTCGCACACGGACGAACTTTATTGAAATTGGTTGGGATTTTAGATTTTATCGTGAGAGGATCGTTATATGAAAAATATAAATTGAAAATTTCAAAATTTTTCAACAAAAATCATTCAGTCATAGTATTACGCCACATTAAATGGACAATGCGTTGATCATTCCCCATTCAACCATTCGAATAGTCATTGGAAAAGTAATACTCCGTATGGCAAAGCGGTCCAATATTTCATATTCAAAAATTGACATAGAAGTTAATTCTACTAAAATTCGACCGGAGAGCTCTTCCTTTTCTACCCCAACCGCCCTATGTGGGTCTTCATAAAAATAATCCCGGCAATGAAGTCTCATGAGCGCTTTTTTTATGAGGAAAGTGGATAAAGAATAACATGATCTTTGGTGCGAAATTTTAATTTGTTAGATTTGCTCAACGTCAGTTCATATATTCGGCTGGTTTCTGTGAGATCCCGTAGCTCCCACAAAAAGCATGTCTCTACAAAAATCTAAATTTATTAGTAAGGCTTGTATTGGACGATACTGTGTAGGATAATTAATGGTCGGTCTGACCCGACTATAATATTTTTACTTATTTCTCATTCCATTTTCAATAAGAAATGTGCGTTGTAGGGTCCTATCGCTGCGTTCGCTATTTGCGAAGAAATTGTGATTTTTTGTGTTTGCATTATTTTTCTAAAATTGGTTATAATTCCGTGAAATTTTGATGCCTGAACTATTGTAATTATACAAAAAAAATTCTAATTAATAGTTCTTGATTCGACATAGACGCCATACTTATATCAACTGCTATTTGTCCTCGTAAATTACTGGGTATGAAAATAATATTAAGAGAGACTTTATTGGTCTCGCATTCAACTTGGCCTGTGACACAATAATCTAGGGGATTAAGATGTAAGGAACTGCGTCGCCATAAATTTGGAATCATATCGTTATATTATAGAAATATTCGACCGTATAATTCCTTACTGTCAGAGGGTGCAGAGTCAGACCAAAATGCGCATAGTCTGTCCATAGGCGGAATATCAATCCAATGTCTTTCAGCTTTTTCTAAGAGGACGCACAGCGATGGTTCGATGGAAAGCAAGTCGACGGTTTATACCTTCAGTGACTTTCAATTTCAGCTCAATAGCTCTCATGCAGTTTTTTGTGAAGGGTGAGTCTCACTTATTAGCCAAACTTAACGCTTCTAGTTATGCGCCAATGTTTTTTACTCTTTGTGTGTTTGATATATTCAGTGCACGGTAATCAATTGCGTGCACTTGAAAAATTGGAGATTTTCAAATATTTGTTCACATACGTTCCTTAGAAGGATGCTGCATTTCTATGTATTAATAATTTTTTAATAAGAGCACAGTGGAATACTATATTCTCGAAAGGAGTTTCCATTCACAATATCAGAAATTGCACGTTTAAAACTTTACAAACGGCTTGGTGTCTAAGAGTGTACAATGCAATTCTGTGGCCGTACCATTTGTTCCCATTTAGCTGCATTTGGAACGTGGCACTGACATTATGTAGAAACAAACTTATAGCCTCAATATGGTGAAGCGATAATTTTGAAAATTGAACAGCTCTACCAATTTTCTGGCAAGAAGCCATAAGCTGATATCGCTGATTACTAAATATTAATCGAAGAGAATGGTCATGAAGAAATATGGAAAGCTGTTTGTTCTCCTAGCTAGAATCTTAAACTTTTCGATTGATTCGATCTCACTATTCACGTTAATCAAGAACATATATCCTCTATTAGCCTCCTATACAAACATTGAGATATCTAGTATAGCTCCTGGCGTGAGAATAAGAAAATATAAGTAAAAACATTATACTCAGCCGGAGCCCGCTATTAGGTATATTAGACGACCTCACTTAATACAGCTATAGATATGATGCCTTTTCAAAGCAAGGCATTAATATGAGAAGTGGTCGCAAAGGAGGTCTGATCGAAAACGTTTTCAATAGAGGTCGTCCTTAACTAGAACACATCGTTATACACGTGCAGACAAGGTCAGACAAGCTTAGGCAGATTCGCAATATGTTTGGTGTATAATGATGACAGACATGAGTCTATTTCAAGCCCTTTTGCGTGTTGTATACGTCCGCACTAAGTTAATGTATCTTGCGCCACACACGACAAGTAGTGTAGAGGTATAAAAACATGACAACCTCTTTCAAAAGATCAAACTTTGAATTTCAGAAAATGAAAAGAATGTAGAAAGAATATCAGAATAAGAAGTTTTCTTTTTTGACCATACCCAAAACGTAACTTTAGGAACTTAACATTTAAACAATGAATCTTAAATTATGCCCAATCAAAACTACGTTCTACAGCTCTCTTCCATTTGCCGTAGCGATGTTTACGCTCCTCCTCTGTACTTGTTGGCAGGAATTTATCATAGAAAACGTTAGAATACGCTTTTCTGTCGGGATCGAAGCGACAAAGATCTATACCGTGCGCTTGCGCAGCGCACATTGCGACACCGAACCGTGTACAATCGAAGAGCTGAGAACGTAACACTGGAATGCCAACAGTATCCGCTTGTAGTTGCATTAGTAAATTATTTTTGGATAGCTGACCATCGGCATGTAGTCTATCAATTTTTTGTTCGGATTCTTTATACATGATTTCCAGTATGTCACGTGTTTGAAAACATACCGATTCTAAAGCGGCTCTGACGATGTGATGTTTGTTAGTAAATTGGGTAAGGCCGATTATCAGGCCTCGAGCATCTTTCCGCCAATAAGGCGCGTACAAACCCGTAAAAGCGGGTACGAGATACACATCTCCCGTTGTAGGTACAGCTGAAGCATATTTTTCAGCATCTTCAGCTCTAGGCAAAATGCGAACTTGATCCTCCAACCATTCGAGCGCGTGACCAGCTACCGCTACCGCGCCCTCTAAAGCATACGTGGCAGGACTATTTGGCCCCAACTGATAAGCGACTGTCGTTAACAAACCATGGCGAGATATGACAGGTTTATGGCCAATATTGCATAGTAGAAAGCAGCCCGATCGATAAGAATTTTTAGCTTGACCGGGTTTTATGCACATTTGACCCAACAACGAGGCTTGTTGATTGCCCAATATTCCGCTTATTTTTATACCAAGCAACGAAGTGCGCTCATCCGTAACGATCCCGTATATTTCAGAAGAGCTGCGTATTTCAGGCAACATTTCAGGTCCTATTGAGAAAGCTTTTAGTAAAGTGCAATCCCATTGCAAAGTTGTAATATCCATAAGCAGGGTGCGTGAAGCATTTGTCACATCGGTTATATGTAGTCCACCTTTGGTTAAATTCCAAATTATCCAACTGTCAATGGTACCGGCTTTGCAACGTTTTTCTTTGAATGCATTTTGTACAGCGGGCACATTATCGATTAGCCAACGTATTTTTAAAGCTGGAAAATAGGGTGATATTGGTAGACCACACTTATCCTTAAAATGGTTTAAATTTTCGCCGGGAATATTCGCTAATATCTGATCGACAGTACTACTCGTGCGTATATCATTCCAGACAATGGCGTTGTGCAAAGGTTTACCGGTAATAGCATCCCACATAATAGTAGTTTCACGTTGATTCGTGACGCCAATGGTAACCAAGTCTTCGTTGTTATAGCCCAAAGACGCTAGCATACCCATTGCAATTTCGACACAACGATATATTTTGTTGATAATGACCATGGCATCTTGCTCGTACCAACCCGGCTTAACGGAAATCATTGGTATGCTCAACTGATGAGAGGCTATTTCCTTAAATTCGGGTGTAGTGTAAATAGAAAAAGACACAGCAGATGTGCCATCATCGATAACCCCTACTAAACGTCGTGTCTGAGACGGTCTGGGATCGAAGGCACGTGCAACAAAATTCACATTTCTTCCAACTTCTGCCATCCCGGAAAAAAACGATGTATTGAAAATACTATAACCGTAATATTGTTTAGTAAATAGAAATTTAATTTCAATTTTATAGTTAGCGCAAAGATAAATGCAAGCACAACTTTTTTTAAAAATTTACTTTAACTTATTCGGTTAATTTGCAATGTTTTCTGATTGACAATATCGGAAATATAAGAAAGACAAGCCCCAATTATAGTTATCAGCGATGATAACGCCGTATCTTTCCACTTATGGTCTTACCTTATAATTCTCTGCTGATGAATTCCGGCGAAGCGCAAAAAGAGATAAATAATCGTTTTCTAAAAAATACAATCACATCTATGATTGTCCTCAAGTGCTTAACACACTTTAGAGTAGCGTTACATGTGAAAGCGTAACTTCATTACAAAATCATTTGAAAAAAAGTATTACTAGCCATGGGCACCCAATACTCGCTTACGAAGATTTATAAGGACTCTTGACAATATATACAGAGTTATAGATGGATTTGATCAACATCTCTTACGTTATAGTAAATTATTATCTCGCCTTGGAGATCTGAGGATACGAATGTCAAGTTTGGGCTTTTCGTCTCAGATATCTATGATTTTGAGAAAGAAGAGATTTTAGCGAGAAGGTTTGCCAAATATCAACTCAAATATGTGTTTAACTAGGAAACTGCCTGCTACGTATTTGTGAATGTTACAAACAAAATGGATAGACTAGAACACTCCCGTGGTGTATACGAAAATGCGATAAAAAATTGCTAAGCTATTGCATTTCATATAAGATATCCGTAACGTTATAGTTCTTATCTTTTAATTAGCTTCATGCCATAATATTTTTATTATCTTTCTCTTTCTCTTGCTCTTTTTCATTTCATTGCCTCCTCTTTCAATCTATTTCATACATTCATATACGCAAAAGGTGCAGTGAAAGCTAACTTGGCTTTGATAATAAGTTAACTTTTATTTTCTCTAGTAAAATACTTTTAAATATTAAACAGTTAGTTCAGTTCACCTAAATTATGAAAAAAAAAAATTTTTTTTATTTTTTTTAAATGATTATTAATTATTTTGCTAATTTCTTATTGTTTTCATTTATGTTATCTATGGCGAAGAGAGCTTTCAGTTTTGTTTCATATTTTTTCGCTTCAAAGCATTTTTGTGTCTTTGTTTTTTTTTTTTTTTTTTTTTTTGCTTTTCGATGCTTATGTGTATATGTGTGTGCGGAAAATATATTTAGAGATTGATTGGTTAGTTAGCTGAGAGGTGATGATGAGGTTTTTCTTATAGAGTAAAATCTTTTCTATCAGTTCAGCGAAAACTTTCGAAACGATCGTATAATTTTTATTATTATTATTACTTTTGATTTTAATTTCTTTTCGATTGTTTACTAACTTAATAAGTTTTTCTTAATCGTGTTCAAATACGTTTTAGTCTAAGACAAGAATGAATATATTATATAATTTTTTTTTTTTTTTTTTTTTTTAATTATTGATAACGTTGTAAACCAAAATAAATGTATGTTCGCGTATGGCGCCAACGAGAAAAGCATAAAAGTTTACAATAACATATAAAATATTACGAAAAATATCCTAAAATTCTAAAGTCTTTATGGATGATATATTGAACGAAAAAATGTTAAATTTAATTAAAAAAAAATTCAAAAATTTTTTATTAGAAAGTGAGTTGTGCACCACGAAAAAAATCTTTTCAAAAATTTCAAAATTAAACTTAAAATAAAAAAAAAAAAAAACGAAGCGCTTTTATTTATTAACAAAATAACAACAAATTAACATCTTTGTGTTCTGTGTTAAATGCTCTAAAATATAATCTTCTAATAACTCGATTTAAACTGCTTTTATTTACCTATGATGGTTCTTCTTTTCTTCTTCTTCTTTTTTCTTCAAGCATAAAACAATATTGAAAGCAAGAAACAAAAAAAAAAAAAAAAACAAAAAAAAATTGTGGAAAACATGTTTAATACTTCGTCTTCCTTGATTAGGAGACGCAAGCGAAAGAAATCTTTTACTTGTGATAGGTCTGCTAATGAGACGACGAGGTTATCAGCAGCAACTTCAACAGCACAAAAGGCTAAAGCTTTATTCCATACGAATTGGTGGAAAGAATGTAGGTTTGCAAGCATATAACTCATATTTAATGTACAGATAGTGTTCGAATTAAACGATAGAGAAAGTTTATGGTTGGCTTGAATACCTAATAAATTACTTTGAGTGAATGTCTAAATTAAATATTAACACATAAATGCATACACGAAGAAATCCAGTTTCCAATCATCACCTGAGGTTAACCGATTCATGAGTTTTGAATTTAAAACATTAATGCATACTACATGTGAAGAGATCACCCGAGGTTAACTGATTCATGAATTTTGCGATTTTCCTTTAAGCATTCATTAATTAATTTAGTATTCCAGCTGACTTGTACATTTAAGCTATGGAGAAGATTTCATCTTCAGTTTATGTAAAAAATTTTTTACAAAATATCTGAAAGTGTGGGAAGCAGCCTAGAACAACTAAGTGCTAGCAAGAGTGGAGTTGTGGCGCCACAAACTTTTCAAAGAGACGCATCACTTCAGCTAGCAGGATGCAGACCTTGTTTAACCAGTTGACTATGCATGACGAATCTGTACGTCATGACTCGTCTATCTGTCCTTATCGGATCTTCCTCACAAAATTTTCTCATTTTGTCAAATTGTTTCATTAAAGCCTAATATTGAATTACCCATGCTCTCTGTTTGACGAGTATACAAGTATAGTGCTGAAAAGGTTAATACAGTTCCCTGGTTAATAAAGAATACATAGACATAATCAAATTAATAATAGAGATGGTTTTTAGCATGAGCAGAACCGCCATTTCGTCACTAAAACACATCCTTTAAGATTTTTGCTCCTAAGATTTCTGATCAAATTGTTTACTAATATCATTGATCAAATATCGCATTTGCCAGGTTCTCCCTCTCTTCAACAATTACTGTGGCGTGGAAAGGGATTTCAGTCGATTGTTGATGTTATAAAATATGTATGTAGGAAGATTTCAAGGCCATAGATCTCTTAAAATATCTACGGATATTGCTTCAAAATTATCTACTGCCACGAGCAGAGACTTGCTTTTAAAATCGTCTAGGGATTACGATCCACATAATGCTATAAATAGAATTCATCACGTTTTAGATCTGATGTTTTGTGTTGATAACTAAATATTAGAATATTAAATTTGACCATTCCCAGCAGTTTTTTGACACTTAGGGCGCTCATATTTCTAGTTGACTTTGATGGTTGTAATATGTACAAGACTTAAGAACATTGTAAAGTAGAAAAATGTCTCTTTAATACAGTTAATTGGCACAGAAAAAAAATTCTTACGGGATTACTTATGTTTGATATCACATTCGTTCATCTATTCGTATGTACGTTCGTTGTTTGATCATCTGCCCGTTTATTTGTCCGCAGTTGATAAAATCCTGAACATGACCTCGAAAGCGTATAGTTTTTCTTTTTATAGTCGGCAGCTACAATAGATTCAAAGGCCTACACAGATTCGAAGGTCTACATAGATCTATAATAAATTTGAAAAGTGAATATCTAAAGTAACTCGAAAGTTTACGGATCAAACTTCTTAACGGGCTTGATTTTTTTTTTTTTATACGATATTTCGGAAAGACATACTTTTGCGGAGGCTAAAAGACTCCGTATGTACCCTTAAAAAGAAGGAATAGAAAAATTGGTTTCGTTACATTTCTGTCATATGAAATTGAGAATGAAATATATATTCTGGTGAATTTCGTTTCTTTAGGAAGCGCAAGTAAAGCAAATTTAGGGTTTCGAAAGATTCGACCTAAGCCCAATATAGTTTCTTTCCTCTTCTTAATAAAAAATTATCTTCACTAAAAATTTTTGATTTCGAAATACGTGTATGCATGTATATATGTATTTTTTTTTTTGGCAAAATTTCAAACAACGCTTATCATAGATTACGCACGGCCAGAGTATAATTTAAATATTAATTGCTTTTGATTATATTCATATAGATAATATTGAAAAAGAAAATAAACTATGAATCAAATGACATTTGTGAAAGCAACTTAAATATCGCACACTCGAAATATGTATACTCGATATTCAAATTTCTTTTATATATATATGATAAAGTTTGTGTTTCGTTTATTAAAGTTAAATAAAAAAAGTATCAATAAATACCCTGCACGTTGTAGGGTATTCATGGGGTCATTCATCTAATAATTTTCCCAAAAAAAAAAAGCATTGTGTTGGAAGTGGTCGAAAAGGTATTGCGATCCGAACAATTGCCAAAAGTGCTCTTTTTTGGCCTGAAACTAGTCAATGCGGCCAATTTCATCAAAATATTTTGCAAATTTTGGTCTGTAGATTAACAAGGAAACAAAATGGAGAGACGGACAGACAAGATCTTTTGTTATAATAAAGATAAAAGATAAGTCTATCTCAAATACGTCTGGGTGTTGCTTACAGACGAATAAACTTAATATACTCTTGAAGTCCAAATGGGGGAGGGTACGAAAGATATTTTTGTCTCTGAAAAGCTGTTATAGTCTTAATCAAAATCAGTATTTATCATAATAGTACATTAGGGTTATATAATCGAACGAAATGTACGCCTACAGTACTGCTTTGCTTTTCAAAAGTAAATTCGGGGTTTTGCTCATTACCCATAAACTAAAGTAGATAAACGTACAAAAATGTGATTCTATGGGCGATATTGTGGTACCTGCGTAAAAATCGAAAAATCGGCCTCGCCTAATGTAGCTAAGAATGTCCGTCTGTTCGTCTGCCCACTTGTATAGTATCGTTGATAAACATTTTCCACACAAACATTTGAAGATGATCCAAACCGATTAGAACACACGCCTACAATTCCCACACGCCAATGAGCCAAAAACTGTGAAAACATTTCATTGTCGCTCATAAAGCACAACACATGTATGGTGTAAATTTCCACTTTCTGTCCAGTAATATAGAGTATGAAAATTTAGTTCCTTTCCTTGCTTTAGGATAATGATGATGGGCGTAAAAGATTCGGTTATAACTGAATGTAATGTTCTTACTTGTTTTTCGTTCAAGTTAAATGCTCCTCCCAGCTTAAAGAAATAGACAACCAGCTTAAGGAGATAAGGAAGAAAATCTTAATGAGCTCTTACGAATTAATACTTGTTTTTAATAGATAGTAAATAATTAAAATAAAAATTAAAACCTATTAACTTCTCTATCGTAAATCATGCTACAATTAAACAAGAAGCTCTTATCTCTGAAGAAGAGAAAAAAAGAGGACAAGTAAAATGTTGACAGTTTGGTTGAAACCTAAGCAAATATGGTAAAGTTTATTTTTTAACCAATTTGTAAGAAAAATTACTCAACTTGTTCTAAATAATTCCGTTTTTTTTTTGTGCACATTAGTAAATCGCACTCTTAACATTGTTTCATTTTTAACGGAGAGTGAAGTGTCGCTAATAAATGAAAAGCGATAAAAGTATATTTGAAAGTATAATAATGATAGTAACAATAAATATTAAATATATTTACAATAAACATTATGTTTCGTTGACTTTGTATAATCGAATGTCTGCATTTATTTTTCGAGCTCTAGTTACGATTTGAATGTCTACACGCATGGTCTACTTATTAAATTAGTTTTTTTTAGTAAAACGATATTAAATTGTGAATAAGCTAAAGGAAATTAAAGAAATTGTTATGAAAGTGTATAAATAAAAAATGATTTGAAGAAATCTTTATATTTTCAGATTCGTGTGTTACGGGCAATAAATCACCCCGTACGTCGCAGATCTATATGAAGCCATTGGCTTTCCAACAGAAATTGTCGCCCGGTGAACAGCAATATGAGTCATATGTTAAAGCTGCTGTGGCAGCTAATGCCAAAAGTCCAGTGGAGGATATATTATCAGCACAAAATACACCGCCAGCACCGCCGCCCAGACGACATGCTTTATCCACAAAATTAGTCAATTCTAGTCCAACTACCACTACCGCCTCTACTACGGAATCTCTTCAATTTCCTTCCTCACCCAGTTGTTTGCCTGACGCTGCGCCTACATCCTCTTCTTCAACAGCCGACGCTCAAACCTTGTTTAATATACGTGAGCAAATGGCTCTGAGCTTAAGGCGCATGAAAGATTTGGAAGAACAAGTAAAAGCAATACCTGAATTAAAGGCAAGCGAAAAGAGAGCAATGCAAAGTGTTTCTTACATATAAATTGAATCATCACTCTCACCCTTTATTTTCCCTTTACGGTAACAATTTAAATCCTCTTCTGTTTTTTTTTTTCTTTTTTTCTTTTGCAGTGCGAAGTTTCTCAGCTACGTGAGGATAAGGAGCGTCTGCAGCAAGCCGTACAACGTAAGGAAGAAGAATTGCAAAGAGCTCGTGAGTTAACACGGCTTTCTTCCTCCCCAAGTCCAATAGCCAGTCCAAAATATGCCTCGCCTGTACAATTCCAGCCACAACGGATCAGCCCTATTTCTCTAGAGAGTATGGGGGCACGTTTACGGTCGTCTACTCCGTCAGCGAGCGTATTAAAACGTGATGTAGGTACTATGTGCGTGAAAAAAAGCACACGCGATATAGCCGTAGGCGGTTCGGTAATGCCAATAAAATCATCTCGTGACGTAGGCTGCAGTGCCTCATTAACTAAAAATGTTACTGAGACGCTGTATACAAAAATTGAAGTTGAAGAACGGGTTAAAGTTTCCATTAAAGAGCATGAAAAACAACGCAAACTGGAACGCTTTAAAGAGATGGTATCCATAGGTACTCAGATACAGCCTCCGAAGCATATATCATTAGATAAATCTATCCAAACTAAGGCCATTAGAGAAATACAAAAATATAATGTGGGAGTGATGGCTCAGCCTAATAAACGTGAAGCGTTTGTAACTTGTAAGCCCGAGGTTCGTACAGTTGGTTCTTCAGATGATCGAATTAGCGATATCCTATGCGGAAAATGTAGGCTACCAAAGCGTACAGTGGCTGTAAGTACTGAAGACATGCGACAAGAGAATTCAATGAATACGGTGTCTCTGAAGTTATTGGATACGCCCAAGCGCAGTAATACTTTTTGTTTAGGCGATAATGAAAAATTGAATATTAAACGCAAGACCATAGGTACCCAGTGTACACCTATAACGGTTAGCAGTTGTGGTTGTCAAACCGCTTCGACTATAGTGCACAGTGTAGGTACACAGTATCGTCCTGAAATGCAAAATTCTGCCACCCAGTCTTACGCAGAGACCGTCAGTCGTCACACCGACACAAAAGACTTATTACGCTTAAATACCACCCAAACTAGTACAGTAGAAATATCACCGCCTACACCAATGAAAGAAGAGAAACCTGAACAACTCAAGCGGGAATTATTACATAAATCGTGTAATACCGAAATCAAACAATACCGAGATTATGCTATCAACACCTCAAGCTCGAGCAAACAGTGTCATTCATCTTCCAACACCGAGGAGGTACATAAACGCGATATTGGCTGTGGAGATGTGGTAAAGCCTCATATATCCATAGCGTGTGCTGATAATTATTGTGATTCTTGTAAGGATGCTATTAAAAATTTGGCCAAGGATTTCTCTAAAGTTGCGATTAGTCCACAACCCAGTAAAGCTAGTGATTCGAAAATACCCAGACCTAGAAATTTACCCAGTCCTAGTCCGGCTAGAAGAACAATACAAAGGCAGAATACTTATACTATACCTCTAACATCAATACCGAGTCCCAGTTCAGCGACGGATAAAAAAATAATGGCTAGGTAAGTTAAACTTTAGTTAAGGTCTAAACCAAAGCAAATTTTATGTTTTTGCAAATGCGCAAGTCTTAGAAAACAAAATTCCACTTGACCTACATGCATAAACAGCTAGTCTGTGATAACCTTGAAAGTGAACAGAATTTGCAAATAAAGCGAAACGTGCTTCTGCCTAAAATTTTTGTTAATCTCTTAAAAAAATTGTAAATGAATTAAAAAAAAAAAATGTTTTGGAGTAGTTTTGCGTGTTATCCTTTAATAGTCAGCAGTTGTTCTGCCTTAGTGATATCGTAAGATGTATATTTTACAGTTTGCTTTCGTTTCAAATACTTTTTTGCAATTGTAGATCCCTGCAAGAGAAATCACCAGAGTTTAATGCGGCTGAAGTCTTACCAGTGGAGTCGGAAAGTTTTTTAAAACAGACCACAAGTCAGCAGCCAAATAACCAAAGAGCTGTTACAGAAACGCAGCCTTTACGAGATCTTCCGTATGATTTAGCCCAGGCTAGCGATAACGATTTAATTGTACGGGAGGAAACTCGAGTTAGCATTAGTTGGTCTCGCGATAATTCACCAGCACCTAATCTTCATAAATCCCACGAAGAATTACCTCAAAACACTTTAGACAAACAGCAGGAAGAATTCTCAACGTCAGCCGAACAAATTTCAACAGGAGCTCGTAAAAAAACTTCGTTGTCACCTTTGCAATCTAGTCATCATCACCATCGTCATCATCAAAGTTCAACAGAAGAAAACAAAAGCTCTCATAATGTAGGAAAGAATTTGGAGAAGGTCAGCGTGAATGAAGATATTGTTGAAAATCCACCATCCAAAGCCATGCTGCAAAAGATTGCAATGGTGGAAGCCGAACCTAGAAAAAAGTGAATAATATTTCAATTAATTATTATTATTATTTTTTTTTATACAAAGCTTATTTTATTTTACCATTTAGATATTTGCCATCAAAGGATATGTTGAGTGCTTTGAAAACCATTAATAATTCATTGCTTAAGAAGTTGGGCTCTAAACCAATATCATCGTTAAGTTTAAAATCTTCTAAAACGACCATACAACAAGAATGGTTTTGCATATCCAGTTCAGAGCAAGCCAACCCACATGAAGTTGAGGATTATTTAGATTGCTTTGAGGAGATGTCAGTTTCGTTGCTCGAATACTGTGTGAATATGGTGGATGTTAATGTACGTTTTAATACTATTTAATATTCTAATGTCATTTTAAACGTTTTATTCTTTTATTTTCAGGGCAATACCGCTATGCATTACGCTGTTTCTCATGGTAACTTTGACGTCGTATCCATATTGCTTGATTCAAAGGTTTGCAATGTAAATCAAATGAATAATGCTGGATACACTTGCGTCATGCTTGTCTCATTGGCTAAATTAAAGAATGCAGCACATCGTACAGTCGTTGAACGATTGTTTCAGATGGCCGATGTCAATGTACGAGCAAAAAAGGTGGGCTTAAAATTACAAGAATAGGTTTAAGAGAAGTACAATCCAAACCCGCCAACTTGAACAAAATATTTTTTTAAATTTTTTTGTAAAAACTGTTGAGTTTTACAAACAAATCGAATTAACACTGCCTCATTGTCTATGGGTAACGTACGATGTGAGTTGACACGAAAATACGGTATTCATAAAATAGGCAGCAAAATAATCCCATAATTCCCGAGAAGTTGTTCCGTGTTCGCATGAGTTTCAAATGTATGGATTGCCGTGCAGTCATACGACGGCCGCAATACTTAACGTAAACAAAATTCTATTTTACTTAAAAAGTATAAATGCTTCGAAAGGCTCACTCCTCCTGTACTCTTTTTATCCCAGGATTCAGGGATTCAATTAAGTACAGAATTGGTCGACTCTAACGATTCTAGAGACTGAAACAAATGACACTAATTTCAACCGTTTTGAGTAATTTTGAATTTAAAGCTCACTACATTTTTGATACCGACTTATACGTAGATCCTATGTAATATTTGCAAACCAAAGAATTCTTAAGTAATTGCATCATTTTAAGGGCCTACATAAACTGTATATAAATTTTTTATTAAATTGTGGATGTATACCTCAAATTCTCTTTTTAGACGAATTTTATTTACACGACTAAAAAAAATCATTCTTTTTTTTTTTTACACGAGTTGTTTTGTTTTAACACGCTTTCCAATATTCTATGAATTTTTTTTAAGAAATTTCTTCTTTTTTTTTTATGTTCCTATGAATTTTTTTATTCTCACTTCTCACATATATGCATAGTTAAAATATATCGATTATATGCGTAAATAAGTGAGATTCCGCAAATTATGCATAGAGAAAAGGCGTAATATATTTTTTACGCAGTTAAATTTACTTTTCCGCAGTATAATGTACTTTTAATAACACATTTAACGAATTAAAGTGTGTAAGCACGAAATAAATTCTTAAATGAACAAGAATTTCTTAATATTGCTTATTACAATTTTCAGTTGCTTTTTTAGGTCTGAAACTAATTTAGTATATTTCCGTTTAGTTAATATTTTTTTCCATGATTTTTTTTACACGAATTTTTTCACTCAAACTTTTTTTACGCGAATTTTTCGGGCACGTATATATCGGGTAAAAACCGAATTGGATGCATCCATAGTTGTATATGTTTTTTAAAGTAAATTTCGGCTACATTTTTGTTGACGTATTGAGTACGGTAAGTTGGGAAAAATTGGAACCTACCCAATTAAGGAGGACAGGTATAATTTAGCGATAGCGAAAAGAAAAGATGCTTATAGATTCCTAGCTACGCTGATGAGATATTCATATGCGTTTTGAGTTTTGGGAACAAAACTTTCGATTAGACCTGTTACCCTGTCAGGTCAGCGCCTAAAGTGAGAAGTCAGATTTATTAAGGTTTCATTAAAAATTGTATGTTTGCCGTATATTGTCTAACGGTTGGATTTGGTATTCACTGCCCGCACACCTTGCAAGCTCGCAGTTTAAAAAGCTACCAGAGTTCTTGATATCCGAGGGAATTTTTTTTAAGCACGATAAACCTTTCCTTATGGTTAGATTTTATTCGCAAAACTTATTTGAAAACAAGTTTATTATATCGGAAGTGAAGATAAAACTGAATGTCAAATATTCGAAGCACGCTTTTTGCGATTGATGTAAGTTTTTTTATTTTTTGCATTGCAATTTTAGCATTGCCAAACCGCTTTAATGCTAGCCGTGTCGCATGGCAATCTAGAAATGGTTCAATTGTTAATGGCAGCCGGAGCCGATGTTAATATACAAGATGAAGATGGCAGTACCGCTTTAATGTGCGCTGCTGAACATGGTCGTGGCGATATTGTTAAGCATTTATTATCGCAAACAGATTGCGATTCGCTTATACAGGATGTGGTTAGTAGTGGCCTGAAGAATATATTCAAAATAATATTAACAAATAGAATATTGTAAATTACAGGATGGTAGTACAGCCTTTAAAATTGCCTGGCAAGCTGGTCATCGCGAAATCGGTCTACTGCTTTACGTACATGAGCAAATGTTGCGTAGTAAACTACCTCATCGAGGAGAAACAACGTTAAACAAATGTTCCCCGTCAACGTCACCGCGTTATTACCACAAACGTCAACCATCGAAGTAATTGTTTTTTCTTTTTTAATTTTATTTCCAACTTTTACAAATTTGAGTAGTTTTTGTGAAAAGAAAGGAGTTTTTAAAAGTAGCCAGTAGTAGTTACTTAAGAGAAAAACGAACAAGTTAATGCTAAGTACTAAGTTAAAGGAAAGAAAAGTACTTAATCGCTCTTAATTAAAGATTTCAGCATTCCAGTACTAAAGAGTAATCATTATATCAATATTTAACATAAAATAAAATTAATTAATTAAAAGAAATTAAGTAACATGCAAGTAATAGTAAAACATATCAAATAAGTGAAAGAGCGTCTTGTTTAACGTGAAAATATAATATTTTTAATTTTTCAAGCACTTGTTAAAAAAATTTTTTCTTATTTATTGCACGAGAAAAATCTCTTATCGAAAGACATTAAAAATTAATTTTAATAATATATAAAAAACAATACTTCTGAAAAACAAAAAAAAAAAGTCTCGCGCACTTCCCGAAATAATGAATGAGTTAAGTAGTAATTAATTTTAAAATTTTTAAATTTATTCAAGTTTTCATTCGAAATTTTTGAAAAGAGAATTTCACAAATTATACGGCCATAATAGAAATCTTTTATATTACAAAGATTTATAGATATTAATTAAAGACACAATGAAAAATGTATTTCATTCAAACACAAGCTGCTGTGAAAGTTGAAACAAAATAAGATCAAACTTTAAACATATATAAAGTAAACAACAGACATATCACAAAATTTATTATAAGCCCTTTACAATATTTTATTATATTTATTAAAAACAAAACAAAAAAAAAAAAAAAATGAAAGAAATGACATGAAAATCTCCAAAAGTAGTTTCTCTATGTTTATCAAAAAAACTGGGATAGTCCAGTTAAGAAAGTAAATAGTTCGTATTGAGCTGTTCTCCGTAGTCGTAGATACGAAAGTCAACAAACTTAAACTGACCCGAATGATAAGAGAAAAATTTCAAGCACAATATGGATGAAATTTTGCATGGGTAATATTAATTTGCTAGAGGAATGGACTACAAGATGATTCGTCGCAAAAAGTTATACAGCGGTCTCTAGAAAAAGCATTTCTCATATTTTATTTACCGTTATATAATGTCTATGGCGAGTTAAGCTTAATCGAAGGGTAATTAAAACGATCTGAAACCCGCTTTCGATTTCTTCAAATTTTAAGCCGAAGCCCTACAGCAAAAAATTTATTATTTTAAAGAAGCTTTTCTGAACCCTACACCTGACAGCCGGTTCTGAAAACAACAAATTGCAAAATTGATAATTTTGAGCGAGTTTGACGGGTTATGGTTGATTGAAATTCATGGACGGACCACTCAAAAAGCTGCCGCCGGGCAGATTCGTTTATTGCAACTGTACGAATTCGAAAGTAAGAAACAAAAACAGTTAATATTTACATACTACACCACTTGTGGTGCAAGAATATACTAAGTTTGTACGGCTATACGTAACACCAAGAAGGACTTGAGCTAACCCCGTCTTTTATTATGCCGATTGATTCAGAATAACTTTCCGAGTCGATGTGGTTTATCTGTCTCTCCGTTTTGCTTTGTTGTATTCAACCTGCAGGTCTACACTGACAAAAAGGCGAACGCCATTAAAAATGGTGCGGAACGGCTCACTTTCCATATAAAGCCTTATTTGTGTGAATAGTTGTAGGGTAGGGTGTCGAATGGTGCAGGAATTGTATTTGTATTTAGTTACTTAATTAATAAATTTCCAGCACATTTTGATCTAAGTTTTATGTTTGATTGATTTGGGAAAAGGGCCACATTTGCTTTATGTTTTATATTTAAATTCACTTTTATTACTAAACAATGCATGCGTATAAAAAAATTGACATAAATGACATCTTAAACTTTGCTCATTTTCAAATAAATGCCGTTTTTAGCTGATATTAGGAAATTTTTAGGGTCTAACTCTACAGGTATTTCAGTTTTATCACATGGACCCACGCTATATTCCCGTAGAAAAGATATTAAACCGATTTTAGTTTGCATTTTCCCGAAACGCATTCCAATGCAGTTGCGTGGACCATCACCAAACGGCAAGTAAGCACAAGGATGGCGTTTTTCTATTTCAGAAGGCTCAAAACGTTCCGGTTTAAAAGTGTCAGGCTCCTCGTACAAATCGGCATCACGATGTATAGCACTAACGGGTAGCCATATCAATGTACCCTTTTCTATAGTCAAAGTAGTGTTCGGCACCTGATAGGATTGACGACATTTTCGTGCTAAAATGGGAAGGACAGGATATAAGCGTAAAGTCTCTGCAAATAGAAAAACTCCAATGTTGGAAATTATTTTTAAATACTACTTATTCGTAAATTAAACCTGCCTGCAACTACTTGCTCCATATAGGACATAGAGTTTAATGCTTCATATGTCAATTCGTTATTATGTTGCTTGAGTACAGTTTCTATTTCAAGTCTCAGTTTAGCTTGTATGTGGGGGTGTTTAGCTAATTCGTATAGGCAAAAGGACATTGTGGTTGAAGAAGTTTCAAAACCAGCTATGAAAAAGACAAAAGCTTGAGCAGCCATTTGCTCTATGGTTAAACCTAATGATAAATCGATTTTTTCTAATTTTACATTTTTGTGTTCGAATTCACTTTCATTTCTCAATTCCATTAATAATTGTACAAAGTCGTTCCGTTTGATTTTGTTTTTAATACGATAATCAATAGTTTGGTGAATTAAGTTCAAGATAAATGCAGATATTTTATCCGGTATAATTTTCATACGTAACCAGCGCGCGAGTTTTGGATTCGTTGTTATAAATGCTTGAACTATAGGATGGTGACGGGGCTCATTGAAGATCGAACGACCCATTACGCGAAATTCTGATTGTGGATCTTTACAGCTGTTGCATTCGACTCCAAAAACACAATTTCCGATAACATCGGTAGTAAAACGGGCACAAAAATCTTTAATTTCCAAAATCTGATCCGAACTATTTTTGAACGCGTCTGTTAAGGCTTCGGTAAATTGTTGTCCGACTTTAACTATCGTAGGTAACATAAATTTCATACGTGCTCCCGTAAAAACCGGCGATAATTTTGTGCGCATAGCTTTCCATTGTTCACCTTCCAGTGTAACTAAATGACCCGTTAAAGGGTCATCTTTGACATTATTAAATATTGGTCGATCATGAAAACTGCTGAAGTCTTTAATTAAAATGCACTTCACCAAGTCTAAGTCGAAAATTAAAAGAGCAGGTGTTACAAACGCATATATTCCCGCGAGAGGTGCAAAATTCTTAAATTTCTTATAAACTCGTTCGCTGACATCACGTATCGAATATTTACGTCCCACGCCTTTAAAATTCCCTAGTAGCGGTAATGGCATCTCGTGCAGCACTCCGCGCGTTTTCCAGTATGTATAGTTGTTGACTAAGTACAACAACAAAGATATTGCTAAACAGAAAAGTAATAATCCGAACATTTCTACGTTACAAATACAATAGAACTGAATATCTAGCAATAGAATTGAACTACATACGCCATTAGAGTAGAGAGATTGCAAAGTTTTTGATGTTTAAAGCTTTCTAATTTTCAAAGAGCACTTTTTGTTTTTGTTTTTTTCTTTCAAATCCAGACGCGTAAAGTTCATGTATTTCGTGTTAGTCATAGTTCATAAAGAATTTTCGCGAAAAAGGAGATATGAGAAAACGGAATGGCGAAATGCAGGAGTTTAAAAAAAGAAACAGTTTGAGACGTTAACAACATTTGACGATTGATTTAATAAACCGCCTAAGTGCAAAGGTTTTTTATAATACTAAAGCTCACTCTTATATTGAAAACTATATCGTGGGGCTTTTTTGTGTCACCGTAACATTAAACGATATTGTGCGCAGAACTCGGCTGTTATCGCAAAAACATTACTTTCTTTTTTCTAAATCTGTTCCTAAGGCTAAGGGTATTGGGTCCCACAGATTTTTTGAGAGGCTTTACTGATTATTCTTAGATTACTATTAACTGTATCTCAAACGATGGGTTTCACTATGTCTTATGTGGACTTTTAAAATTTTTTGAAAGGACATTACGAAATGAATTGTGTAAAATAACTTTGAAATGGACTGATTTCTATAAAGAAGGCGCTATGGTGTATTCCAATATTGGGAGTTTGTGGAGGACAAAACAAAATGCAATTCTGTCAAAAATGAAAATGGATACGAGTAGGAGAACAAAATATCGGCGGGTAAGAACAGCATGCTGCCAAGGAATTCAAAGTATCTCCTTCAGTATCGCATACAGTTGCAATGTTCTCTTCAATCTCAGACTTGTTTCTATTTCCTACTATAGAGTTTGGTGACGATTCTGAAAACTTGGAATCATTTATTTATACGCATAATTGCCGCTAGCCTTCGAAGGATAATAAAATTAGTAAACTTTGTCAAGTTGAAAATTCAAAGAAAGCCTTTCTTAGGAAACAAACAAAAATGAGGTCCTACTGTGACTAGATATTAGATTTGTTTTCAGATATCTTTTAGCAAACGCACACTGCGTAGCTATTGGTTTATTTTCATTCCTTATTATATTAATCAACATATTAAACTAATCATCTTTAACGTAGTCTTTGTAGTTTGCAATTTTTCCTCATTTTCGCTGAACGCTTAAAAATATATAAAACTTTTAGTTGACATCATACTGCGTCGGTCAATAATTTCCGGAGCTAACAGAAAGTTCCATCATTTGTTTAGTGTAAGAGAATTTTACTCTACCTAATATTTTCTGACTTTGACCTTTCTTTAAAAAAGATAATTTAAAAGATTGACAAAAATAAAATTATGATAGTCTATGATTTTGGAGGGAAGCGGCCGATGTTGCCCATAGAGTGTACGTGAAAATTTTGTATCGTATTATAGCTGTAGTTTACGAATAATGAAATGAACAAGAATCGCATTATGTCGGTTTTGAAAACAGAATTATTCCCTGTTTATGCTATACTGTAGGTGTGTCAGTTGATCGATTTGAATACCAATCTATCTATATGAACTTCTATCATATATTCATCCAATCGTATTAATTTTTGAGATAGGAGAGTAGATAGAAAATGTAGTGCTGGTCATGAATGTATGCACTTTGTAGGATCTCTGAAGCTGAACAAGAACTTTTTGCGACCGTCTTTCGATCAATTGCATTGCATATTGAAATGTTAAAGAAGCTTTCGCCTGACGGTGTTACTCTAAAGAAGACTTTTGGAGTGAGTAAAATAGAATATTGCAAAATAAATGTTATTTTCGTACTTTGTACGGATAATTATTGACCGATATATTACAATATTAATTATCCAAACAGTATTTATGAAAGAGGTTTGATAACGATTATATGTCTATGTACGTAATATAATAGAAAAGCTCTCAGTCATTGCAATTCGATGCAAAATTGTTGACAAATAATTAAAGAAAACTTTTTCTAAATGCTCGCAAACGCAATCGTGAAATCAAAGTCTTAGTAATCGATGAAGTAACGAATGAAGTTCAAATGCATTTTATCGGAATACATAGAAAATGTGGTTAATTTTATTAATTCTGGGTATAATCATTCTGGTTCCATTAGTCTCATTAATTATATACATTCAATATTGGCACAATTATTGGCGTTACAAAGACATACCGCATGATCGGCCTCGACCTCTGCTGGAGATATTTAAAACACTCAGTAAACATGGAATCAAAGAGCAAGCGTTAAAAGATTCTAAATATTATACGGAGTTGTATGAAAAATTTAAAGGTTCAGGACCATTTTGCGGTTTTTACCATTTATTGGATACGCGAATACTTATATTGGATAACGGTCTCATGCATCAGATATTGGTAAAGAATTTCTCCAATTTTAATGAACGTGGTTGTTATTATAATATAGCTGAAGATCCTTTATCGGCCGATTTGTTCAGTTTTGGTGGTCAGGCCTGGCAAGAAATGCGTCTAAAACTGGAATCATTGTTTCACGAAACAAAATTGAGCAGCTATCAGAAAGTTATGCAAAGAGAAAGTGGAAAGTTAGTAAAAATGTTAAATAAGCAGAAGGAAGATCTTTTAATTGACATGAAAACTTTCTTACATCACTATGCATTGAGCACTGTGGCAAGTTTGGTGTTCGGTTTGGATGATGAAAAATGGCTGCGGAAATATCCTTTGGAAACCTTTGATCATATGACGCATTTGGCTTTGCATACACGGCGTCATGATCCCTACTTAAGTGCTCTAATGCAAAGGTATCCAAATATTTTTAGGCGCTTCGGTTTTGCCACCACACCCTTAAATGTACAAAACTATTTCCATGCTCTGTTAAGTGAGGTGGTAAGCGAAAGGGAAACATATAGTGAAATGAAAGAAGATTTGCTGCAAAATTTGCTTTCTATCGTAACCCAAGAACTGCATACACATGAAATGGATAATTTGAGAGATTCTCGGGACTTAAAAAAACATTTGTTAAATGAATTGGTGGCACAAGCTTTTACCTTTGTAAGGGCGGGTTTGGAGCCCACTGAGAAAACTTTGACTTATATATTGTACGAGTTAGCTAAAGATTTGGTTCTGCAGCAGCGTGTAAGAGAGGAAATATTAAAGCAGCGAGAAGCCAGTGAAGACCTGTGCAGCTATGACTACGTCCAATCTTTAAAATTGCTTAAATTAATTATAAAAGGTAGGGGTAGGTGGGAGGACATTCAAAATCTTTCATTTATGTTGCCTTTAATTTTCAGAAACTCTACGTCTTCATCCGATTACACCCTATTTGATACGTCGTACACTTAGCGATTATACGGTTCCTAATAATCCCGTTTATTTAATTCCAAAGAATACTTACGTCATTGTACCTGTACAAGCCATACACCAAGATCCATGTTTTTACATTCAGCCGAAACTTTTTAATCCAGAACGTTTTAATGCCTCGGATGATGATATGGCTGGAGGAAGTCTGCTGTGGTTCGGTTGTGGCATGGGTCCACGAAATTGCGTTGGTTGGCAATTTGCTCAGCTGCAGATATTAACACTTGTAACCTTTCTCTTAAGTGAATATGAATTTAGTTTAGATATTCATCAACAGTTAAGTGATGACTCTTTAGAGACTCTGCCTTTGAAAATCAAATCGTTAAAGCGACGCTCAGAATATGTGGAATATGTAGACGGCGTAGAATCGCTGGTTGAATAGTTCTAAATTGTGGTATGCATAGTTGCGAGCAAACGTTTTTAAATGCATTGCTTTAATCCACGAGCTTACATCCCATTGATTAAGAAAAAACATTGTAGCTCAGTTTTTCAATTTTTCTCCAGCTTTATTTAGAACTTATTATATTTATAATCTCTTAAGGAATATCACTCTTTTTTCAATTGAAAAAGCTTTGAGTATAAAAAAATTATATTTAAATCAATTATCTTCTGACTATAAATAAAAGCGATTGTCCATTCATTCATTTGAAGCAGTATCGGAAAAGTTTTGTTGTGAATTTCTTTTTGTTTCAAAGTTGTCGCAAATATGTTCATTACGTTGCTCATTACATTACTGGTCATTATGTGCTTGGCCGCTTATCTGAAACTGAAGAATATATACAGTTACTGGACTAAACTCGGAGTGCCTCATGAAAAGCCTTTGTTTTTCTTGGGCAACATGAAAGGAGTAGGGTACACTTACCATTGGACTGAAATTAATCGAAGGGTTTATACAAAATTTAAAGACTTCTCACCAATTGCTGGTCTTTATACTTTTTGGACGAAGGCAGTAATCATTATGGATTTGGATCTAATTAAAAATATATTAATTAAGGATTTTCAATACTTCAGCGATCGCGGTATTTTTCATAATGAACGAGATGATCCTCTCACTGGAAATTTGTTGTTTTTAGATGGCGATGCTTGGCGAGTGCTTAGACAAAAGATTTCTCCAGTCTTTACCAGAGGTAAAGTGAAATTCATGTTTTCTACTATCGTTAAAGTCGCCGAAAGATTGGAGCACGCTTGTGATAATATAGTCACTAAGGGAGAAAATCAAGTCGAGACGAAGGATTTATGTGCTCGTTTCACAACAGACGTGATTGGAGAATGCGGATTTGGCATTGAGTGCAATAGCCTAGAGGAACCTAGGGCTGAATTTCGTGAAATGGGACGTAATGTCTTCGAAAAGCCTCGTCATTCGATGTTAATTCAAACGTTCATGTTTACTAATCCCGATCTGGCACGCCAGTTAAGAATGAAACATTTCCGTAACGACACTAGCGAATTTTTTATGAGAGTTGTTAAGGAAACAATAAAGCTTAGGCAAGAAAACCAAATAAAACGTAATGATTTTATGGATTTACTTATTGAGCTGATGGAGAAGAGGGAAAAGCTGTTAAAACAAGGCCAACTCATAGAAGATGATGATATGGCTAGTGGTTTAACCTATGAACAAGTATGCGCTCAAGCAATGGTTTTCTTTTTGGCCGGATTTGATACTTCTTCGGCAGCAATGGCGTTTTGTTTGTATGAACTGGCCTTAAATCCGGATATTCAAAGGAAACTACGAGAGGAAATCTTGAAAGTGTTAGAAAAATACAATTCTCAGATAACCTATGAGAGCTTAAAGGAAATGACTTATTTGGAACAAGTTTTCAACGGTAATTCTGATGGGATATATTAGCTTCAGATATTTAATCTTTTGCGTTCCATTTTAGAAACACTGCGCAAATATCCGGTGGTTCCTCAACTGGCACGAGTATGTTTGAAGGATTATTGCTTGCCGAATAGTGATGTGATTCTCGAAAAAGGATTGCGTATAATTATACCCATTGACGCTATACATAACGATCCTGAATATTTTAAGGAGCCTGACAAATTTAATCCAGACCGTTTTTCTTCTGCTGCAATAGCGCAACAACATCCTGCTCTTTCGTTTATTCCGTTTGGTGAAGGGCCTCGCAATTGCATTGGTATGCGTTTTGGTAAATTGCAAGCGCAAATCGGTTTAATCATGATGTTAAGAAAATTTCAATTTTCAACCACTTCTAAGACAAAAATTCCTTTGCGTTATTTTAAAAGAAGTTTCCTGCTATCGCCAGAATCTGGGATATATTTGAAGATTGAAAAACTTCATTGAAGTAATCGAATATTTATGGAAGCGATTAAATTTGGATTAAATACATAAAAGTCTATGTGAAGATAAAACAAGTCAAAACAATATAGTGCAGCACGGCCGACCATACATCATCTCTCATAAAACAGTTATTCATAAAATGAATTTTCAAAATGAACCTTTATAAGGAAAGTGGTCAAATATATAATACGGTCCTAACGCATTTCAATATCGCTCGTCCTTTGTCCAAAACGGACGGACAGACAAGCTCAAATCGATGCACAAAGTGATTCTGAATTGATCGGTTTAATAAAATGTGAGTCTATCTCACGTCCTTCTGAATATTGAATGCTTACGCGTACACCTACGTACATATTCTTTTACCATAAGTGACGTAGGGTACAAAAATAATGACTATAATGATGACTAGTAATAATATGATTTTATAAATACTCCAGAAGGTTGGAATACAATAATTACGTTATATTTTAATTCCAACTATGCTAAAAGAAATTCCGCACTTTGAAGTTGCTCGACTCGTTACAAGTAAAGCATAAAAGTAAGTATTAAGATAGAAATTGACATGAAGAGGTAACTTTCTGCATTTTTCTGAGAAGATTTCATCGCGAGACTAAAATATTTGGAAATTTACTTATCTTCAGTTCCATTCAGGTTTTTCGTTATTCGTAGAATTTTGCTGACGTACCGAATCGCGTTCGGTCTCTTAATCTTGGTGACATTCAAAATTCTTCGAACCCAAGAGCGATTATTTCAGATTGCCCCAGAAACTGGTATTAACCTATGGTATGTACGTTTACTTTATGGGGATCCAAATGGTTTTGACTTTGTATTATAATTGCAATATATGTAGCATTGTAGTTTTGCTATTTCATAATTAAAAGCTTTAATCAATACCGGTCCTACTAGTATTTCGCTCTTGCATACAAAGTTCAAAACAAATTATTTTAGTATGAGCGATTGTAACTTAACCAACGAGATTTTTCTCTTATATCTCTCAGCACCGCTACTGTTCGCGTTTTTTTTCTATTTTGGTGTGAAAATCAGGCAACTTTTCCTGTTTTACAAAATTGTTAGCAGCCGTGGACGAAAAGTGAGTCTATATAAAAACAATTTAAAGCTGATATAAGCAGTATGAGGGAACCTCTTTGTACTGAAACCTATAGTAAAAAACGAAGCTCTTCAATTAAAGTAATTTGATTTTTTTAATATGAAATGAAATCCGCTAACTTACATCTGCCTTCCAACACCTTTAATGGTTAATTAGATTTACCTTATAAATGCATATTTCGACTAGGCTTTATCCGTTCAATCGAACCAAAGTGACCTTTAGCGAGCGTTTTTTTAGGTACGAGAATGGCCAGAGATCAAACGGAGCCGGTGAAAAAGTCTCGAAGCACCAATGGAGTGTGAGAAAATGCTTTTAGCTTTGTATTTGAACTTGTGACATTAAAAGCAAAAAACAACAATATTTTTTAAATCGAAGTAATCATCTCTTATTTGTTTGTCAAATTTCATTTTTTTTTTACAAGTTAATAAAATTTTTTATTTTTATGTGGCTGCGACAATATTCAAAATTTATGCATTTATTTTCACTTATTTTTTGGCTGTTTTTTTTTTCGTAAGCGGTTAAAATTGCAAGAAAGAGACCGAATGGAAGTGAGGAAAGTGCTGAAGAAATATGAAAATTGTAAGAGGCACGAAATGTTAAGTGAACTGGTTTATCTCAAACAATTACTAAATATTTTGTGTTGAAAATCAACAGCCGGAGAGAAGAAAGCTTGGCGGTCCTGTCGTCATATTATGCCCAAGTATATAATACGAAAGACATAAAACTCAAAAATATCGAGAAAATAGTGAAAGTTTCAAGCTTTGAAATATTTGCAAATATATTCAAATATATTTGCAAATATATTTGCAAATATATTATTTGCAATTAATTTTGAAATTTTTGAATATTTCAAAGCTTGAAACTTTCTTCTCGATATTTTTGTGTTTCACTTCTTTCTTATTAAATAGCTGTCATGTATGACATCACCTGTGTCCAGTCGGGATGTTTGCTTTAACACATGTCATTAATATTCAATGTCGTGGATATGCCGAACGATTCCGCTGCCGCAAATGCCAAAGAGAAGTTAGCTTTTTGCCTTTTATCAGCCGGACTTAAAGTATGATAGGGAATGCGATCCGGGAGATAGCATGGCAAAAATTGCACAAAATTCTAAACCCTCGTTCCAGGATGAACTGAAATGGATGTTTGATGGACGGATGTTTTGATCTCCTGCGATCTTATCCTGACACCATTTTAATAAAGCATTACGTTTGCAGTCACAAAATTTGCCTAAAAATGTTGCAAAAGCTGCTAATTTCGGCCGGTTGTTTCACTCAAACCGAGTACAGCGAAGAGGGTATAGAGAATTTACTACGCTTCACACCATCACGGTAATCGAAGAAAATTTACTCTTACACTTTAGTATTTTCCATTTTTTCCCACGACATTTTTTCAATTTATGATTTTTGTCAAATAAAAGAGAACATGTATGAAGTCAGGTATCATTATTAATAATAAATAAATAAATTCTATCTATACAAATTTCACAGCGGGAGACGGGTAAGGGGCGAACTATCTAATATTCTCTAAGTCAATCGGAATCGTGTTGTCAGAGAAGGATGAGATTTTCCCTTGTTATGCTAGAAAATGAATTCTTTGCGATTTGTCAGATGTCTTGCATATGGTTTCATTACTCTATGCGAACGGATGTCAAATTGATTCAATCTCTTGAAGGCACAATTCGAATTTGGCATCCAGATGTGAGCCAGCAGTGCTGTATGTCATCTCATAAAACTTAATGAAGATTCTTTTCGAATGATGCAATTTTTAGTTGCAGGCAAAGATTTTTCGTAAGTAAAAATTCTTTAATGTAGGCTTCAAATACTAGTTTACTGCATAAAATCTACCGATCGTTCATTAAAAACCTTCAGTGCTGTTATAGCAAATACAATGGTCTCGGTCCATTCTTAAAAAAAGAAAATGGTTTGTAGATATGGCTTATTCACCTCGCCCTGTTTGTGAATCTGCTTTTAACAAGTGCATTGACAGCAAAAGTAGACTTGCTTTTAATCCTTTGTTTCAATTATTTCGACATCACCTGAAGTGCACTGTTTCTTTTTCGGAAATTTCGCATTTCAGTTATCTCGCGTGGGTCCCCTTTTATGCTCCAGTTAAAGTTTGTTCATAGCAAGGCGCAGTTCATGAGAGAAAAGTAAAGTATCGTCTAAAGAAGTTAGTTCGACTGCCGTATCTTTCCATATAAGCTCCAAAAACGAGCTAAGTCTGCTTACAAGAATGAGCAGTTCCTAATAAAAATTTTGAAAATTCTATTAATAATCGGGTCAAATTTCATAAAATGTCGCTTTCATTGAGATCTATTTCGTATGGGACGCGCGAGTTTGTATAAATTTAAAATGAGAAGCAGTTTGCTTGCATGCCAGATGGCCACTTTAAGAGTGTTTTTCGACCTCTGAAGAAGTGACCTTCGGTGCTTTTTCCAATTTATAAAACATTTGTATATTTGATTGTTACAAATTTACAAATTGCTTTTATAATGACTAATATCACGTCATGATAACCGTTACAAACTTAAAAAAATCTATTACTCTTTCCCGATACTCTTTCAAATATGTTGTAGATCTTTAAGAGGACAAGCCAGTATAAATTTTTCCCAATTCTTTTTTCTTGGCTTAATGCTAAATACTCTGAATTCTCTAGAATATGAGCAAAAAAACCATTACCAGAGAAAAACTTTTCGCCCTAAATTTCCAGCTCTTCTCCAATCACTTCGAAAAGACTACCTTGGTTCAATCAATCCCTGGTTGCAAGCTGCAGCTTTTTGTCTTACCGGTAAACTTTCAGCTTCGCTAATACTGTCCTTGATGTTTTTTAAAAGTGTTTATGTTCATTAAAAAGCTTTCACATCAAAAATACTTTTTTGTAGCCGTATTCAGACGACCTTTAAATGGTTGTAAGCGATTCCATCATCGTCAGCGATTCAGTGGATTCACTTCATTGCAAATAGAGCGTACAACTTACAATCTTGTCTTTGACTGATGAGGTAAAAGTCCGAGGCTGTAGGAGGGAAGGGAAAGAGTGAAACTGCTAACTAGTGGTAAAAATTAACGAGACATTTATCAAAATCAATAAACAAACTATTATAGTCGGGCAAGACAGGCCGTTAAATACCCGATACCAGTTCAGTTAATAAAATTGGTATTCCATTTCTGCGATAATACACAAAAGCTTCACTTAATATTTACATCAAGGCACACTTTTTATGATAACTCTTTTACAAGGTGGGTCTAGTAAAATGACATAGACGTTGCTGTTGCAACGACAACTTAAGTAAATAGATCGTGATCGTCACGGTAGCGACGCGAAAGAACGATCCCAACAAAATCAAAAGTCGGCAACTAAAGGTATATGTGACGGGGATGTGGGGAAGAAAGTGGAAGGAATTTCTTGTATCTAAAACACAAATTTACAAAATTAATTATACAAAACATAAAGCAAACGCGTTCTACTCTCTTGTTGCTTGCATAGACAATGAACCTCCATTGGTATACATAAAATAGCAGCCAGGGTTGTATTTATCAGCCTACCTTAGGCCATTTTAAAACCGTATTTATAAACTGTTTCTCACTATCAAATTCTCCCATATAAGGCCTTCGTTTGGAAGGCTTACTTTTGTATATAGGAAGGAGTTTAAAACGGCACATCGGATCTCACATGAACTTAGTATGCTGGAATGCCGTTATTCAGCGATTTCTGTCGAGAAATTTTGAAAATTGCAAATTTTTTTTGACGTGACGAACGTTGCAAAATAAGTCGTTACCTGAGGACTGTTCGTAAAAATAATCCTATCCTATATAATTTCAAAATGATCCAATTGATGATTCAATTGGTATATTCTAACCCTTAAATGCATAAATTTTCATTTTTAAAATGAAATGAAATTGTACTCAGATAGCGATGCGGAAATGAAAATTATCACGCATAAAGAAATAAACTGTCAAAGATTCTAATTGGGTTCGGAAATGATAAGATAGTTTTAGTAACATTAGAATTAAAAAAAGCCCCTATTTTTCCAAACGGGAAATAGATTTAGAATTTAATACTGACCGTGAATATAGGATTCTTTAAAAGTTTTCTGGAGTTTTCTCTTTATCCCCCTTTTTCCTTGATGAGTGTTAAAAGGCGTCGAAATGTGAGTGAAGCTTTTGCTTTAATTTCTTACTTTAAAGAAGCTCTCGTTAGTCACTAAAGTTAAATTTTGCAAAATGAATATTCCTTACTTAGTACGGAGCTTTGGAGTACTGGCTAATATGTTACAATGTTAATTATCCAAATAATAGATTTGATAACGGCTATGTCTGTATGTATTCAATAGAAAAGCTCTCAGTCATTGTTGACACATAATTGAAGAAAACTTTTCTAAATGCTCGTAATCGTAAAACCAAGGTCTTAGTTATCAATGAAGTATCGAATCAAGTTCAAATGCATTTCGATGGAATACATAGAAAATAAGGTTAATTTTATTAATTCCGAGTGTATTTTAATTCCAATACTTTTATTCATTTTTTTCTCTTCAATATTTGGCATAATTATTGACGTATTGGTGTATCGTATGATCGGCTTTGAACTCTGTTGAAAATATTTAAAACATTCACTAAATACGTAGGCAAAGAGCAGGTGTTTGAAGACTCTAAGTATCGATACACGAATACTTATATTGGACGGCGCTGTTAGACAGATATTGTTAAAGAATTTCTCCAATTATAATGAACGTGGTTATTATTATGTCTGAAGATCCTTTATCGGCAGACTTATTCAGTTTTGATAGTTTAGTGGATGGGCAGAAGTGCATTTGAAATTGAAATCATTGCTTCACGAAAAGGAATTGGAAAGTTACAGGAAGATATTGCAAAGATTTTGCGAAAGGCTTGCAAATATATTAAATACACAAAGAGGATATGTGAAAATCATCCGATATCGATTTGTTGGGCATTGTGGCAAGTTTGGTTTGTCCTTTAGAAAATTTTGATCCTACGATGCAGTGAGCTTCGCATACACAAAGTTGCTCTGTAGCAGATCCTAACACTTCTAATCGTTCTTGTGAGTCAACATGAATTCAGTTTACAAACTCATCAACCCTTGGGCAAAGGTTCCTTAGAAAGTCTGTCTCTACGACGTTCAGAATTCTTTTTTTTTACTTTAATCTTGAGTTCAGTTAATTAATTAGAACAATCATTATTATAATTAATACTAACGTGTCAACAAGTCTGTTGCTGCACGGTTACGAATATGTGGACTCAGTAGACGGCGTAGAATCGTTGCCTGAATAATTCTAAACGGTGACGCGCCTAGACATGAACAAATGTTTTCAAATGCATTTCTTTTGCCCATAAAAAATAAAAATCTTTTGAGTTCAATTTTTCAATTTTCCCTATGCTTTTTTGGAAATTATTAATAATCTCTTCACAAAATTTATTCTTTATACCCTACATGATGGTACAAGAGTTCGTTAAGTTCGATCGATTCAGAATCACTTTCCATATAAGACTGGAGATAATTTGATGAAATTTGATTCACTGACATGTTTTGACATATAGGGAACGTTTCGGGCCGAATTACTTTCTCGACCACGCCCAATAGAAAATATTTCATTGTCAGTATTTCACGACAAAGATATGCATATATTATCGTACTGGTCGCATCAGAAAGTTATGTTGAGTCTGTCTGTCTCGACGTGTTTTAGCCCATGATTGAACAGTATTGAAAATAAGTCAGTTTAAACCGCTTTTTGATCACTTCCAATGTAAGGAGTTACTTTGAAAATTCGTTACATGATTAGGTGCAAGTAGTGTATGGTATTAAACGGTGGCCCGTGACGCGCTGTAGTCTTTCTACTTGTTCACATTGGAAGAGCTTTGAGCTTATAAAATGAATATTTAACTTAATTATCTTTTGAACACAAATAAAAGTGGTTGTTAATTCATTTATTTTAAACAGTATCGAAAAATTTTTCTTGTGAGTTTCTTTTTACTTCAGACTTGTCGCAATTATGTTCATTACGTTGTTCATTACATTAGTGGTTATTGTGTGCCTGGCCGCTTACCTGAAACTGAAAAATATCTACAGTTACTGGTCTAAACTGGGAGTGCCTCATGAAAAGCCTTTGTTTTTCTTGGGCAACATGAAAGGTTTAGGGCACAATTATCATTGGACTGATATCAATCGAAGGATTTATAGAAAATTTAAAGATTCATCACCAATTGCTGGTCTTTATCCTTTTTTGGATAAGGCAGTGATCGTTATGGATTTGGATCTAATTAAAAATATATTAATTAAGGATTTTAAATACTTCAGCGATCGCGGTATCTTTCATAATGAACGGGATGATCCTCTCACTGGAAATTTGTTGTTTTTGGATGGCCACGCTTGGCGAGTGCTCAGACAAGCAATTTCTCCAATTCTTACCAGCGGCAAAGTGAAATCCATGTTTTCTACTATCGTTAAAGTAGCCGAAAGATTGGAGCAGGCTTGTGATATTATAGTCAATAATGGAACGGTCCATGTTGAGGTAGAGGATTTATGTGCTCGTTTCACTACCGATGTGATTGGAGAATGCGCATTTGGCATCGAGTGCAAAAGCTTAGAGGAACCTAGGGCTGAATTTCGTGAAATGGGCCGCAACATCTTCGAACAACCACGTCACTCGTTGCTCGTTCAAAGCTTCATGTTATCTAATCCCGATTTAGCACGCCGGTTAAGAATGAAAGCGTTTCGTAAGAATACCAGTGAATTTTTTATGAGAGTTGTTAAGGAAACAATAAAGTTTAGGCAGGACAACCACATAAAACGTAATGATTTCATGGATTTACTTATTGAGCTGATGGAGAAAAGGGAAAAGCTATTAAAACAAGGCCAACGAATACGAGTCGGTGATTTGGTCAGTGGTTTAACCTTTGAGCAAGCATGTGCGCAAGCAATGGCTTTTTTTTTGGCCGGATTTGATACTTCTTCCGCAACAATGTCGTTTTGTTTGTATGAATTGGCCTTAAATCTAGACATTCAAAGGAAACTACGAGAAGAAATCATAACAGTGTTAGAAAAATACAACTCTCAGATAACCTATGAGAGCTTAAAGGAAATGAGTTATTTGGAACAAGTTTTCAACGGTAATTCTCGTCCGATGTATCAGCTTCAGAATTCTAATCGATTGTGTTTCGTTATAGAAACTTTGCGCAAATATCCAGTTGTTCCTCTACTGGCACGAGTTTGTGGGCAAGATTATTGTTTGCCGAATAGTGACTTGATTCTCGAAAAAGGATTGCGTATAATTATACCCATTGACGCTATACATAACGATCCGGAATATTTTAAGGAGCCTGACAAGTTTAATCCAGACCGCTTTTCTTCCGCCGCAATGGCGCAACAACATCCTGCATTTTCGTTTTTACCGTTTGGGGAGGGGCCTCGCAATTGCTTTGGTATGCTGTTCGGCAAATTGCAAGCGCAAATCGGTTTGGTCATGATGTTGAGAAAATTCCATTTCGTAATCACACCTAAGACAAAAATTCCTTTGCGCTATTCAAAAAAAATTTTCCTGCTATCGCCAGAATCAGGAATTTATTTGAAGATTGAGAAACTTTAAAAGCTTCAACTGTGTTACTAAAATTTTACGTTAATATTTATCTAGGTATGCTGGGGCGATATCCCGATTTGATTCGAAATCAAATGTTCGATTGTGGAAAGAAATGAAACATCTCTGTCTCGTGCGTCAAAGATCTATTTCATCTATATGCATTTAACCCTTAAATCAATACCATAAAGATTTCCGTTTATTATACTTTCATATGTAAGGTGAATTTTAGAGCGTGTTCGGCTCATTGCCTTCTTTATTATTTCTCGGCGAAGGATCTTTTGCAACTCCGGTGTAAATGAAACTCCTTTGTTGTTCCTCTCCATTCAGTTGCCATGGAGATGAATAAGTCTGTCGGTGGACTTTAGTTATCGCTTCTCAAGATATCATCCTTCTTGGCGTAGTCTTCAGCCATCGGGCACGTTGTTGGGTTGGCAATCTTACGAAACTTCTTCGATTCGGAGACTTCGTCCTGTATGTTGCATGTACCTTGTTGCTGGGGTCACCTTAGGCTGGCTTTGCTGGATTGAGCGCGAGGCAGACCAAGCAAGTTTTATGGATCTTCCATCCTGTGGTTGCCCTCGAACTGACGTTTTAAGATCAAGATCACACGGGATTGCCTTCAAGACTGGCGGTGTTGTATTAGCTTTCTACCACATAGGAGCTGACACGAGTTGTGCCCCCCCTCGGTCGGGATAAATAACCGTTCTCGACCCCTTTAATCAAATCACCCAGCTATTTCCTGCACG